CCTCCTTCCCCGCTCTATTTGCATGCAGAGACCCTGGAGTGTGTTGGGTATGGGAGGCAGGGTGCCAGGTTCTAGCAGAACCGACTGACTGATGTGGGACCTTTGGCCTCAGCTTTGCTGCCAGGGACACAGAGGCCCCAGAGAAGAGCAGCCTTTGAGATCTGGCCTCTCTCCATCCTTACACCATTGCCCTCAGACTGGCCTCTACCTCTTTTGCCCAAACAACAGCCTTTCAAAGGGTCTCCCCAATTCCCCCCATCCCTGCAGTTTCTCCCCATCTTCAGTGCATGCTATGCAATTCTGACCATCCTCCTGCTTAAAGACCTCTCATTCCCTAGTGCCTCTTGGTAAAATTCAACCCCAACCCCATTGGCCTTTGTAATTTACCTTCCAGCCTCACCTCCCCTTCACCCCATTGTCCGGCCGCCATGCCCTTCTCCCACTCTGCAGATACACCAGGCTTATCCATGGTTTCATGCTTTCCCTGGACTCCATCTGGAGAACTTCTACTCATATTTCAAGACCCTACTCATACATTACCTCTACCAAGAAGCCTTCCCTGACTCCACAGGGAACAGACTGAAAGGTCCAGTTTTGCTCAAGGCCCTTCAGACATGAGTAATGACCAGTAGCTCCTTGAGGACAGGGACTGTGGGAATGAAAGAGCAGGACCCAAGGACCAAGTGGAGGAACAGGAACCAAGAAAGACCAGGAACACCCTGGGCAACCAGAGATAAGGAGATGAGGAGATGAGAGAGAGACCTCACCTCCAGCTGTTGTCCTCCTGCTTCCCCTGTATGCATCCATGGGTTCCTTTCCCATGTGCATTTTCATCCTGCCTACCAGACCTCAGCTGTGGCGCTTTGCATGTCCTCAGGATATGTTTCAGAGGTGGGTTCCAGACTTGGGCTGGGGTGGGGCAGCCTAGGTTGAGGCTTGGGCTGGCCATACCTTCCACACCCGCTAGAGGGCATTGTCCCCCTCCTTCAGACTTCCTGGCAGGGGAAGTAGATTGGACTTCCAGAAGGAAGAAACTAAGGCAGGGGAAGCTTCCGGGGGAGGGGGGGGGGCTCACCAGGGAGAAGGGCGTGCCCACACGGCAGCTTTAGAGGACAGCAAATCTGGTATGGTGGACACTTCTTTCCCACACCAGTACAAAGACCCACAGAGCACACCTACACATCTTTGCACAGACACACCACTCTCTTGTGGGGCAACAAACACAACACACACCCTAATTGCACTTCCTTGTCCATCTTCTAACTTTCTCTCCTATCTCAGCTCGTTCCAGTAGACAATCCAGGTTTTTCGCAGTAATGGGGAGGTGAGGCAAGCAGCACACACAGACCCTCGAGCATACACAGAGGGCCCCAGAAGTGCCCAAGCAGCCACACATACAGAACAGCACTTCTGAACGCTCTGTCCAAGGAGAGACCCTTCCCCACCTCGCTCCCTAGCCAGGACCTCTCCTAAGCTGTGTGTGGTCACTTAGTGGGGTTTGCCTTTCTCTACATCTTTCTCTGAACTCCAACCACCCCTCACATCTGTGGTATGTTTCATGCTCTTCAAATGATAGCTCATGGGATCCTTATACAACCCAGAGAAGTAAGCAGGTTGAGTAATTTCACCCTCCTTTGACAAATGAGGAAACTGAGGCATAGTGACCTCTTCAAGTCTCATGGAGAGCAGTAGAGAGCTTGAGACTAGAATTAGGTTATTCTCCAAATCCCTCTCTTTTTCTTTATCCTTTCTTTCTTTTCTTTTTTAAAATATATTTTTGTTGATTTCAGAAAAAGGGAGCGTGAGAGAGAGAGAAACATCAATGATGAGAGAGTCATTGATCTGCTGCCTCCTGTGCCCCCCCCCCCCC